CGAAGCCCCGCCCCTGGTGGCTGAAGGACACGCCCCCAAGACGAAGCCCCACCCCAGGGACTGAAGGACACGCCCCCTGCTGGACGCGGCCCCAACCGCCCCACCCTGGAGTGCGGGCGGGGCCCAGAAGACACCCGCCCCCGGCCCCCATGGATGGGGGGTGGCCCCAAATCGCGGGATTTTGCCTTAATTTATACCAATAAAGGGCCGGCCTCAACCAGCCTCGCAGCTCCGGCAGAACCCAGCCCAGCCCCTCGTTCATTCCTGGTTATTTTAGTATACAAAAAAAGGCGTTTTTATAATTTAACAGAAAACAGGAGACTTCCCAGCAAACAGGGTGGGGGAGGGGCTCCAGCAGGCCTCACCCCTGCCCCCACCCCCTTTCCCTGGGGTGCCCCATAGGGGCGGTTTGGGAGGCAGGGGGGCTGTGGCTGGGGTCAGGAGTGAGGGGCACAGGCAGGGCTGAAGGGGCGGGAGTGAGGGGCACCAGGGGGTGGGGGTCCCCATGTCCCCCCCTCCGATACAGAGGAAACGGGACAACCCACAAAACACTGATTATTTCAACAAAGAATGTAACTCGCCTTCAATATGAAGGCTTAAAAGGTGCTGCTCTGTGATGACATCATTAGACTGCAACCATGATATCACACCCCAGGGGGGGTTGGCACGGCAGGGCCACCCCCCAGTGATGACCTCATTGTCTCTAGAGAGCCAGAGTTCCTGGGTTACCCAGGCAATGATGTCACAGCTAGGGATGAGGTCAGTGCCTGATGACATCATTGCCCAGCACCCCGCATAGGGGCGGCTCTTGTGACATCACTGCAGCATGCTGGTGTTCTCCTGCTGATGTCAGGAGTGATGACACCATACGCAGGAGTGGCAGTGTCTTTATGTCCCAGCCCAGCGCTTATGACATCATTGGCATGAACGGGGGATGACATCACAGGTCCCCTCCCCCGGTGACATCATCCGGTGCCCCGAGGGGATCGCAAGACATCATACCTGGGTGTTCCACGCGTGTCACATCACAGAGCAGCGATGACCTCACTGCCACGAGGTCACTCTTTGGCTTTAAGGCAGGGGGTGGAGTCTTAGGTCCATAATAATAAGGCTCCTGCCCCAGGTTTCAAGTAGCTAACATCACTGATGACTGACCAGGTGACATCACTGCCCACCCCCAACCAGGGTGGGGGCCAATAAGGCTTCTGGTGTATGTGTGTGTGGGGGGGGAACCCCCACAAGGCAACAGGAAGAGGGCAGCCACCTTGGTGTTCCCAGTGGAGTCCAGCACCATGGTGGCAATGGGAAGGCCCGAGCACACAGCGGCCATCTTTGGAGATGGGATAAGGGCGGCCATCTTGGACCCCATCTGAGCAGCCATCTAGGGGGCCTTCACCCCCCCATGGCAGCCATCTTGGCTGGCCCCAATTGGATGGGGGGGCCAAACAGCGGATGCGGAGTGGCAGACCCAGCCATGCAGGCGGCCATCTTGGTAGTTGATGATGGTGCGGCCATAGTGGACGTCCCCTTCAACTAGCGCTCATCTTGAAAAGATCACCCAAAAGCCATCTTCAATGTCCCTCTGCGACTGGTGAAGGGGAGGGCAGCCATCTTGGGTCCCATTGGAGACTGGCCATCTTGGCAGTTGAAAGAAGGGCATCCATCATGGTTTCCCTCAGGTGGCAACCATTTTGGAGGGGGGCAACAGGGATTTTGGGGGGGGGGGTCAGAAGCCCCCCGCCATGGACTCCCCGGCTGGATCTGACTTGGCCTGGCCCTGCAAGCTCTGGGCACTGGACAGGATCTTCTTCTGGTGCCCAGGCAGGGTCACCCCGACCCGCACCAGGTCCCTGGGGGTGGGGAGAGAGGTCAGGGGGGGATAGAGGGACCCCCAGTGCCCCTCACTTCCACCCGCAGCCCCTGCCCTCCCATGCCCTTCACTCCCGACCCACAGCCCTGCCCCACGCACTGGGCCGACGCCTGGGCCACCATCTCCAGGGACCGTAGGCCACCACGGGCAAAGTCGTCCTCATAGCGCCCGAGCCCCAGCGCCCGCAGCCACTCGCCCACTGAGCCGGGGCCTGGGGCAGGGGCGGGGGGGCTGCGCTGCTCCAGGAGGGGCTGGGATGAGCTGAGGGGAAAGGATGGGGAGAGGGTCAGTGTGGGGGAGTGAGATACAGACCCCAGGCCCAGCCCAAGTCCTCCCCGAGAACCCAGGTGTCTGGGCCCCCCCAGCACAGATGACCCAGGCGCCTGGACTCACGCAGGGCCCTCGGGGGTGGTGACGCGCAGGGCGGCCGGGTGCCGCATCAGCTTGTCGAGGGCGCGGACCAGGTGGGCGAAGCGGGGCCGGGTGCTGCGCTCGCGCTGCCAGCAGTCCAGCATTAGGCGGTGCAGTGCTGCGGGGCAGGCGGGTGGCGGTGGCAGGCGGTGATCCTGCTCGACTGCATTGATCACCTGCGGGGGGTGGGCAGCAGGGTGGGACGGGGCCCAGTGCACCCAGCTCTAGGGGGCCGGGCTGGGTGTAATGGGGTCCGGATGCACGCAGCTCTGGGGGGTTAGGCTGGGTGTAACAGGCCCGGATGTGTGCAGCTCTGGCGGGGTCGGGGGTTACTCACATCCTGGTTGGACATGTCCCAGTAGGGGCGCTCCCCGTATGACATCACCTCCCACATGACGATCCCGTAGCTCCAAACATCACTTGCCGACGTGAACTTGCGGAAAGCGATGGCCTCGGGTGCTGTCCACCGGATCGGGATCTTGCCTCCCTGGGGGGAACGGGGGGGGTGAGGGGGTGGTCAGGGAGGACCCTGAAATCCGGGCTCCCAGCCCCCCTTGCTTTCACCCACCATCCTCTCCCCTCCCGGAGAGCCCAGGTGTCCAGACTCCCAGAACTGCTCCCCCACCCCGTTTTAGCCCACTGACTCCAGAGAACCCAGGTCTCCTGGCTTGGCGGGGGGAGAAGAGCCCAGGTGTCTAGGGCGGAGGCTCACCAGGGTGCTGGTGTATGTGGGGTCAGCCGAGCTGTCGTCCTCCAGGAAGCGGCTGAGTCCAAAGTCGCTGACCTTGCAGACCAGCTGGGCGCTGAGCAGCACGTTGCGTGCTGCCAGGTCCCGGTGCACATAGCCAGTCTCGGCCAGGTAGCACATGCCGGCCCCGATGCCACGCAGCATCCCCACCAGCTGTAGCGGGCGGAACCGCCCTGCATTGCCCTGTGGGTACAGAGGGGTTAATCCTGGTGTTGGGGGTGCACCCAGCTTGGGGGGGGGGGTGCAGGGCTGAGGGCAACAGCCCTCCAGATGCAGCTGGCTTAGGGTAGGTCATGGCTGAGTGTAACAGCCCCAGGATGCGCCCAGCTCGGGTGTGAGATGTGACTGAGGATAACTGCGCCCAGCTCTGGGGTGGGCCATGGCCGAGTGTAACAGCCCCTGGGTCTGGGGTGACTCAAGGCTGAGCATAACGTCTCCAGGATGTGCCCTTTCCAGGATGTGCCCAACTCTGTGGTGAGTGTAGCTGAGCATAGCAGCCCCCAGGATGCACCCAGCTCTGGGGGCAACCCACTGAGTGTAACAACCCCTAGATGTGCCCAGCTGAGGGGTGGAACATGACTCAGTATAACAGCCCCCAGCTCTGGGGAGGACCCAGCTGACTGTAACACCCCCAGGCTACACTCAGCTCTGGGGTGGGTCTGGCTATAATAGCCCCCAGGATGCTCCCAGTTTTGGGGTAAATCACAGCTAAGTGTAACAACACCCCCAGATGAGCCCAGTTCTGGGGTGGGTCACAATTGAGTATAACACCCCACAGGCTGCACCTAGCTCTGAGGGGCACCTAAGCATAATGCTTCCAGGCTGCACCCAGCTCTGGGGTGACTCATGGTTGAGGGTAATGCCCCCAGGTGCACCCAGCTCGGAGGAGGGTCTGGCTATAGCAGCTCCCAGGCTGCACCCAGCTCTAGGGAAGATCACAGCTAAGTGTAACACCCCCAGATGCACCCAACTCTGGGGTGAGTCACAGCCAGGGCCATCCCTAGTGGGAGGTGATCGCTTTGGGCCCTGCGCTTTGGGGAGCCACCGCAACTCTGTGCTGCTGCCAGTTTTCTTTACGTCCAGTTGCTTGGCACCCCTCCCCCCCAAATCCAACGCTGAATCTGGGACGTCCGGCCGCTCACCACCCTGCCCTGCTGCTGAATCTGTCACAGGCTTCCTCGCATCCGGGGATGGGCCCCACACAGGCTGATTTGCCCTGGGCCCTGCTCAGATCGTCTCTGGTCACAGGTGAGCGTAACGCCCCCAGGTTGCACCCAGCTCTAGGGTGACTTCCAGCTGAGCCTAACACCCCCAGCTGCGCCCAGCTCTGGTGCAGCCCCGCAGCACCGTACCCGCAGGAAGGCGTCGAGGGCGCCATGCTCCATGAACTCAGTGAGGATCATGGCGGGCGCACTGGCCGTCACGACGCCCTCCAGCCGGATGATGTTGGGGTGCTCGAACTGCCCCATGATGGAGGCCTCAGCCAGGAAGTCACGGCGCTGCCGCTCTGTGTAGCCGCCCTTCAGCGTCTTGATGGCCACACGTGTCTCACGCCGGCCTGGCGCCCGCAGCCGACCCCGGCACACCTCGCCAAACTCACCTGTGGCCAGGGCAAAGGTCATCATGGGGCTGGGGGGTGGGGCTGGGGACAGGTTGAGGAGGCAGGGGGTGGGTGCCTGGGGGGCCAGGGGTCAGACATCAAAGGGGTGGTTCAGGGTTTGTGGGGGATAGGTCCAGGGGCCAGGGGTTGGGAAGGGTGATTCAGGATTCCTGGGAGAACAAGGTAAGGGGGCAGGGGTGATGTTCAGGGTGCCTGGGAGGATAGGTCAAGGGATCAGAGGTCATGAGGGGTGTTGGGGAAAGCAAGCTCAGAGATCAGGGTGACAACCCTGGGTACGGGGGGTGGGGAGACATCAGGGTTCCAAGCAGGTCAGAGACCGAGACAGGAGCAGGAGGGCGGGTCAGGGGTCAGGGCTCACCAGCGCCGATGACTTCCTCGATCTTGACGCAGGCCACATCTATCTCTTTGGCAAAGGCGCGCACGGCTACACTCGGGTCCTCGTAGGTGAATGGGTCGATGTAGACCTTGGTGCCTGCAGCGGGTCGGGCTCAGACCCAGGCCCCGCCCCCTGGCCCAGGCCCCACCCCCAGCAGCATAGCCATGCCCCCACAGGGTAGGGATCAGACCCACTACTCCCAGCATAGACCATGTCCCCTGAACTCATAACACGCCCCCACCCCGGCACAACCAACCCCTGCGCTGGACTCAGGCCCCGCCCACAAACAGCAGGCCACGGGCCGCACCAAGCCACACGGCATCACTCACCCTGTCCAATGAGCAGTTGCCCTGGCTTGTCCGAGTCCTCAGGGTCACGACCCCCAGAGCCATGACGCCTAGGAGGGGGTGGAGCCTCCACTCAGCCCCATCCCTAACCCCACCACCCATAACTGTCCCCCAGCCACTCCCTCCTGCCCCAGGGGTGTGTGGGGGGTACCTGACACAGATGACAGCCACCACGACCACGGCCACGACTAGGAGCCCCCCCACAGCCGCCGCCCCTGCGATGGCACCCAGGGGCTCTGCCTGCCTGGGGGGGTCTGCAGGGGGGGAAGACAGCGTCAGTGGGAAGGGGGCAGGGGCTGTGTCAGGAGTAAGGGGCACTGGCAGAGCTGCGAGGGGGGTTACTCACCAGTGCCAGGTGTGGCCAGGGGGGTCTCGGCTCCGAAGTCGCCATATCCGGCCTCCGATCGGGCCCGAACCTGCACCCCGTAAAGTCCCCCCCGGCGCAGCCCCCCCAGCTCCACCCCCGGTGCTGCTGTCTTCACAAACAGGTGGGGCCCATTGGCCCCCCCTGCGCTCTGCACAGAGAAGGGAAAGGCATCTGAGACCCCCAGTGCCCCTCACTCCC